CTCAGCGTGATTATACACAAGTGCATGTGTTGATGCAGCGGCCCCAGGTGTCACAGCCTCTAATCGTTGTTCTTAATGGCATGTTGTTTGTGTTGCGTTGCCGTTGACGATCTTTTACCCACACACCCTGACTGTAAATGTGATCCTCAGTAATGGCCGTGCTCTAAACGCTTGTATCACACGTCATTAAGCAGCACTTCTGACTCCAGACACTTTTAAAAGCACAATGACATTCTCTCTCTGTCACTTTACTATTTACCGCCGTCAACACCTCGTTACCACCGCTGGGTCCTGCACCAGCCTCTGACGGGAGGGGCCCGGCCAGATCTATAATTAGGGGCCCGAGCTAGCCCCCATTCACCCCTGCACCCCTCTGCACTAATGGCACTAATTTGTATTCACTGTCAGAGCTGATGAGCTCTCATGCAGCGAGATGGTCTTATCACAGGCCTGTCGCCTAAACCCGGGCTGCTGGAGCCCAGGCCAGTGACAGGCACGCGGGGGGTCAGGGGGAGGCCTTTATCTCCATTTTCATGTGCTCGCCTCATGTGGCTGTCATGTCACTCAAAGCTTGACACAGGAAGAAATGGAATTGTATTAAGGTTATACAGGTGGAGACTATTGTCCATTTCCTTCTATAATAACTATGTTAAACCAATATATGACAGATTCATTACATGCAGAGTGAGATATATCAAACCTTTAAGCCTTTATGTAAGCCACAATCATCCACATGATCATGTGTGTGATTGTGGCCTGGATCTCACTTTGATGGCTGTACTTGCTTGAGTTGAGAGTCCAGGGGGAGTGTAATCATCACAATATCTGACTTCATTAGAATAAACACACATGAGATGATCATTAGAATCAGAATGAAGTGCTCTCTCATGACTATATTGCTCTGTCATTGTCACAGCATTGTAAACATCACAGGTAGGATTAGGTTTAGCTCTTTCAAAAAACCTGGTTTGTATCGTTTGAACCACTAAATCAGTTCCATTACCCCTGTTTAAAGCTATGAATGATAAAGTTACAATACTATTGTTGACTTAGTACGAAGGCTTTGCTAGAGCCAAACTTTGGCTGGAAAAGGCAATAGTTAGAGCCCAGACTCTTCAGGAGTCAGGAAGCGTCCCGTCTGGCAGTTTCCATTGACTCCATTGTTTGGTGAACACATCTGACTGGACTCTGGTGAATGTTGCTTGTTCTCAGAACAGCCTTAATGGACTGGTCATGAGTAAAGCCCACAGGCCTAACCTAGCGTGGCCTGGATTACAACTGTTTGTACATGTGCGAGTCAGCATGAGCTGGAAGACATGCAGAGGACAGAGGTCAGTGCTGTAGTGGCGATGCTCTCTGCTCTGCTTTAATCTGGGATTAACTGGTGCAGGGTTATCTCTCCTCCGGCTGAGTGGAATCAGGAAACAGGGATTGCCTGAGCTAAAGTGGCATTAGAGAACGCCTGTCCGCAGCGGCTGTGTCCATTCAGCGCTGACACGGAGGGACTGGACTGTTGGGAGTCAGGACAACACAGCAGATAACACCAGAGATCACTCAGCATCTATTTGAGGACGATGCTTTTAATAGTCTGTGAAACCTCACATATTCAACTTCATTCTCTTCTCTTCACTTCTCGTGTTCAATGGCTCTTACAGCAGCGTTATGTTATTTTTTTAAAACTTCCAAGACACGTCAAGTAAACGGAGACAGGATTTTATACATGAAGGTGTAGAGCAGCGGTTCCAAACCTGGGGCACGCAAGCCACATGCATCGCGAGCAAGTTTGATTTAAAATAAAAAATAAATCCATAAATGATCAATATACAAATGTATTTATTTTCCCTCCAGTGCCTTGATATTTTGCTTTTAACAATAGTTTCAATAGTGTGCAGTGTTTAAAAAGCCTTGTGTTCGCTGTGCCCCAGATCTGTTTCTCTGCTCGTGTGCCGCTGATCCTTCATGTTTTCTCAGAGTTCATGACTGAACCACAACCGACTCTTAATGAATCCACGGACACTGCACAGGTTTCTGTGTTTTTGTGCACACAACACGTTATTTCAGCCAATACATGTGGATTTCTACAAGATTTTTGGGGCTATCATAATGACAAAAAAAGTGTGATCCTCAAGTTCTGTTTTAGTCAATGGTCATACATTAAGAAAACGGAACCACAAAAAATCATATTTATATTTTATGCAAATGTAAAGTATTTACTGCTATGTAATGTATGGATAATATTCTAAATGACATAAATTATTATTTAGATAATATATTCATTATCGCCGTATTGCAGCTTTAACTCAGTGAGCAGCTCTGGAGCTAAAGCTCGGTGCTGTGGGTTTATCTAGCCCTGGTCTGTTTCAGACGGTGTCAGCAGTAATCCACATTCTCCAGGTGAACCTCTGCTCAGAGGGACCTGCTTTGAAAGGAGATGGATGTCAGTGTGTGTCTCTGGACATTTCTCACAGAACAACAGCCTGAGAAAAAGCACAAGCAAAACACACTGTAAAAAATGAAAAGAAAAAATAAGAATTTGTATATTCTTGATATTTTCAGTGGGAAAAAATGACTTGTTTTGACAAAGACAAAACTCACTTGGAAAATCGTAACCACCCTTGAAAAACCAAAATGCATGTCATTAGAAACATCTTTAAAATTCTTTGTACTTTTGTATATACTTGATTCAAGCCTTTTAACTTTTATTACATTGCATTATTACATTGCATTATATTCACGTTAAAACCATGGATCTATAATAATAACTGGATAGGATATTACTAGCTTATAGCTGTCCCACCTACAGTATGGGCACAAGGACAGACTAAATTCATGTGGGCTACCCAGAAAAAATTCCCATAGAACTCAATGCATATTAAAACAGCTCGACATCAGCTGACAGAGAACCTTTCATAAAGATCGGATTTTGTGGGATTTTAGTGTCCCTTGTCATCCTGAACTTTTTTTCTTCTTAAATCCTTTGGTTTTCTTTAAATCCACACTTTACTGCCGCAAACTCTGCTCCCTGCCTTCCCGCTCTGACTCCGCTCTGCTGCTGCTCTCATGAGCAGCTCTGATTGGTCAGAGCGCGGCCGAGCCCCTCTGTGCGCGTGCATAAAAGCCACACACGCACGCGTCAATCCACTGCGCATAACCGGGAGGACCAGACGATGCCCAAATATAAGTGAGTTCTGCTAATCTCCCGGTCTCCATGAAGTCCCATGCGCTACTGAGCACAAGCCATTCATTTGAATAGGTCGCCATCTTGGATCGCCGGGGTTTGGTTAAAACATAAAAATATCAAATGATAACATTTTTATTTGCATATTATTGCTCACTTTATAAACACATTCCTTGCTTTGAAATATTCACTGCCGAAAAAAACAAAAAACAACGCTTACAAACGGAAGAGACTGCATTGGCACAAATATGAAGACACAAACAAAACCACGTACCAAGTTACAGTTGTATTAAGTCACTAAGTCAACCTTTCAAACGTCCGGATATATTGTTGTTGTGCCTTTCTCCCTAAACCTAAACCCTAAATCTCTCATACACTTCACAATTGAGCACCACAAGGGAAAGGAACGACAATCGTCTCAAATGCAAAGTCAAATGGATGTATTCAGATCCTAACTTACAACAAATTCAAATCCAGACTACTCTATTTGTCCTAACAGGCGTAATTCATTTGAGCAGCATAGGGCATAAAAACAGAGGAAATGTCATGACAATAACAACCTGAAGGGGCGCCCGCACAAACAGGTGACCGCAGCAAGACAACAATACACGGTTAACGCGCTGTAAGGTTCATGACAAAATATAAACTCGCATTTGCTCATCAATCATCTTCAAATATCCCCAATCATTGCTCTCCTTCTCTCTGTCTATGTTTGTTAAAGGACCATGTACGTTCTTGATTGACTCATTCACGAGGGCCATAACAAATTTATTAAATAAATCGTGATTTATCAAAAACAAATTCATTAATTGATTCATAGTTTGTTGAACCTTACATAGACTTCAACCTAATTCCATAATAGCTGCAGATAAAATGTATTTACAAAATATGTTTAATCAATCCACCCAATGTGTAACAAGTCATCTCTATGCAAATATTCTCACTTGAATTTATTTTTTATTTTATTTTTATTGAAAGAATAATTGGCCAACTGATCGATTATCCAAGCGATCTAATTACAGCCCTATAATCCACTTCCTCCTCAATCAGAGCCGTCTGAAGTCAAGGTGATGGAACCAGGGACCAGGCTGAGATTGGACTCTACACAAATGATACAGAGATATTGTTACGGAGCAGATGAACCGACTCAGACTTCTTTGATTCCCAGGCCTCAGGGGCAGGAAACTGGATTAGATCACAAATCCCCTGCATATGTCAGCACAGTGACCACGTCAGACCCTCCAGCCGTGTAGAACGGCGCTCATCCGAAATCATAACACTGTCAACCCCCCCCACAGCAGTGTGCTCTACATCCCTGTGTGCACCGTACGAACAGCACTGACCTGGTTAACCTTGTGCTGCTCAGAGGTTACCAGTGATCTTTGATGCCTGCTTGACCTAAACCTCACTGCTCTTTCATCCTCTTTTCTGACACTGGCAGATAAAAGGTTCCCCTTAGACCCCAGAACAGGTATTTCTTTGACCAATGGATGAGTCTGGGTCTTCTTCTTATTCTTGCACTTCAGCAGAACCCTCGCATTTGTATGGTTTTATGGTAAGACTTGCACTAAATCTACTTTGAGATAAAACAATTCACGACTGTACCTTTTGATAATCCACCCAACTTTCAAGATGGCGGTTGAATGAACAGCTTTCTTAAAGACCCAGGCCTTGGATCAAACCTGCAACCTTTCTGCTGCAGCGTGATTGTCACTCCTTCAGTTATTGTTCATAGCACTTATATTGCACAAATCATGAAAAGTTCTTGTCTTCATATTTGTATATGTATAGACCAATTGCTGGTACCTGTGTCCTCTGGTGCTTATGTCCTCTGGTACCTGTGTCCTCTGGTACCTGTGTCCTCTGGTACCTGTGTCCTCTGGTACATGTGTCCTCTGGTACATGTGTCCTCTGGTACATGTGTCCTCTGGTACCTGTGTCCTCTGGCACCTGTGTCCTCTGGCACCTGTGTCCTCTGGTACATGTGTCCTCTGGTACCTGTGTCCTCTGGTACAGGTGTCCTCTGGTACCTGTGTCCTCTGGTACCTGTGTCCTCTGGTACATGTGTCCTCTGGTACCTGTGTCCTCTGGTGCTTATGTCCTCTGGTACCTGTGTCCTCTGGTACCTGTGTCCTCTGGTACCTGTGTCCTCTGGTACATGTGTCCTCTGGTACATGTGTCCTCTGGTACATGTGTCCTCTGGTACCTGTGTCCTCTGGCACCTGTGTCCTCTGGTACATGTGTCCTCTGGTACATGTGTCCTCTGGTACCTGTGTCCTCTGGTACCTGTGTCCTCTGGTACATGTGTCCTCTGGTACCTGTGTCCTCTGGTACCTGTGTCCTCTGGTACCTGTGTCCTCTGGTACATGTGTCCTCTGGTGCTTATGTCCTCTGGTACCTGTGTCCTCTGGTACCTGTGTCCTCTGGTACATGTGTCCTCTGGTACATGTGTCCTCTGGTACATGTGTCCTCTGGTACCTGTGTCCTCTGGCACCTGTGTCCTCTGGCACCTGTGTCCTCTGGTACATGTGTCCTCTGGTACCTGTGTCCTCTGGTACAGGTGTCCTCTGGTACCTGTGTCCTCTGGTACCTGTGTCCTCTGGTACATGTGTCCTCTGGTACCTGTGTCCTCTGGTACCTGTGTCCTCTGGTACCTGTGTCCTCTGGTACCTGTGTCCTCTGGTACATGTGTCCTCTGGTACATGTGTCCTCTGGTACCTGTGTCCTCTGGTACCTGTGTCCTCTGGTACCTGTGTCCTCTGGTACCTGTGTCCTCTGGTACCTGTGTTCTCTGGTACCTGTGTTCTCTGGTACCTGTGTCCTCTGGTACCTGTGTCCTCTGGTACCTGTGTCCTCTGGTACCTGTGTCCTCTGGTACCTGTGTCCTCTGGTACATGTGTCCTCTGGTACCTGTGTCCTCTGGTACCTGTGTTCTCTGGTACCTGTGTCCTCTGGTACCTGTGTCCTCTGGTACCTGTGTCCTCTGGTACCTGTGTCCTCTGGTACCTGTGTCCTCTGGTGCTGCCTGATAATGCAGCAGATGGTGTGGGTTGGATGGACACTAACTTCACTGAGCTGCTTCTAATGAAAGTACAGGGAGTATTTATTGGAGTCTATTTTTATGAATAATTAATCTTATAATAAAACCACATGTAACAGTTTCATCCATGTCTGAGATTCCATCTCACTCTGGTTTTCATGACGGGGAATGTCAAAAATGATCTCAACAGTGGCATTTAATGGTTTATTGGAAACCAATTGTACTGTTTATTCTCACTCATGTTTAGGCTTTTAAATGTGTCAATGTTCATGCTCAGCTTTTAAAGGGCACATATGGATCTTATTTTATTGTGGTTACATTTTGTTTTGTGGCGTTGATGTGTTGCCTTTGACGTGAGCGAATGTCTTGGGCCATCCTAGAAAAAAAATATTTCGATCTCAATGTATATTCATCTGGTTAATTAATGGTTAAGTAAATAAATACAATAATAATATATTATTTTATATCATTACAATATTAAAATGTATTACCAATATTGGGCCGACCGTGCACGGTAAAAGGGAACGTGTGATTATTGTTGAGCACAATAAACTTTTAATTTGTACAAACATCTCCCAAATTTGTTTTTCTTTCTACTCTATGTTTTATGTTGTTTTCTTTTTGAATGTTTATGTGTTTGTCTGTTTTGTTTCCTTTATTTATTTATTTTGTAGGTTATATTTTATTGGTTTTTTTTTGCAGTCATACATTAATTAATAAGCGTTTTACATCCAGTATGATGCCATGAGAGGAGAAAATAAGAAAAAATATATATAAAGTTAAGAAGAAGAAACAGAAAAGAAAAAAGAAAAAAAAAGAAATAAACAAATATAATAAAAAACAAGTTTTGATGCCTTTAAGAAAATAATATATATGTCTCCCTATAAATACAACCGATAGATGATATTTCAAAAAGATGCTGGTCAAAAACATATTGGAACAAACAGAAGATTGAAAGAGGAGAGAAGTTTCTTATCTGTCTCTGTAGTTTTTGTTTTTGTTTCTTTTCTCTACAAAGTTTGTTTTTGTTTCTTTTCTCTACAAAGTTTGCGAAAGTCAACCTCTGGACTCGTGAGTATAAGCCACACAAAAGAAGAAAAGTGAGGCACGTGTGAACCTTTTATTACCATCTCTTTAAGGTGGAACACACAATGTTAGCTTTGGCACAGTTCAGCACAACTTCAACGCTTCAAGTGAAAGAGAAAGTAAGTCTGCCAAAGAACCCCCCCACCCCCCCCCCCCCCCCCCCCCCCACCCCTCTACCCCCACGCCCCTCTTTAGACACTTTCCAAAGCCAGAATATGCTTTTCACATCAGCCATGGCTTCCTACTCATTTCACATGTTAGCAGCCAAAGTGAATTACCCAGTTTGTGGCCATCTGAGCCGCTGGTATGTGACATGTCGTCTGAACGAGGAGGTCACTGCGAACAGCTTGAGCGCTCTTACCTTCAGCCCACACTCAGCAGGACCCTGTGAGGCTTCAGAAGCTAACTGCCAGTCAGAGAGAACGACAGGCAGGTTAAACCATGACATGTGGTAATGTGGTGCGGGTTAAAGTCTTGCTCCACAACCACTTACTGCAATAAATCTGGCTTTCAACATCGTGTCTACGTGGTATTAATCTAAAAGAATGGAATTTGACACAGTTTAGGCGTAGGGCCTCGTGACAGTGAACTTTGTGTCGCCAGAAAACTGTGAACTGCATCAATAAAGACAACGCTGTAGACAAGGGTTGCTTTTGTTGGGTTTAGAATCCTTGTAATAATCTTAAAATAATATGTGTGTTACTTAGAGTGCATTTGTGGGAAAAGAAAATAGTGGACTTAGAAGTGAAACTCTGAAAATGTTGATATTGTTCAAAATATAATTTGTCAGTAATTCAGCTTTTTTTTATTACATTTTGTGATTATTATTGAATTATGGGGTACAGTCCATTTTCTAAATGTTTGGATTCTGGAATCCAGGCGGAATTCTATTGATCAGGGGCCGGCCCATTTGAGGTTTGCCAAAATTCTCCCATACAAGGGATTTAAATGACATGTAGCGCTCCAGCTCCTCCGTTCCTCCGCTCGCCATGACCACACTGTGTGGACTGAACATGGACACAACTATTTTATTCCATAAATCTGCAGATCACGTGTTTGCCGAACCCGAAGTTTGATCCGAACTGATCAATATCGGAGTCTGGTTCACAGACTTATGGGACTAGTGCTCGTATCCACATCATGTTAAAGTGAACCATACAAAAAAATGTGAAATGATACCATCTCCTTCACGCCGGCTTCAAATGAGCTCAGCTTTATTCAGATTAAAATCCAAACAGTCTTTATGTCCACTGTCCTACCCCACAGTCAAAGGTCCAGAGGCAGCACAAGCCCCCTCTGTCCTGTCATGTCCGGCCCCTGCAGCTCGCCTCTGAACTCAAACTGGCAAAGTGACCTTGGTCGAGTGAGCACCACCTGTCAATCATTGATTAGCCACGCTTTTAACACATTCACTTAAAGCTTCTCTGTGAATGGAAGATCAATATCAGCCAAATGCTGCTTAGCCTCAAAGCTGTACCTCGCACACCGCCTGAGGGGAAGCAGGATGTATCAGTATAAAGAGAAGTAAAACAGACGCTCTCGTCCAGTTTGTGTGTGAGATAAATGTGCAGACCATCAGGACAAACCACAGCTGTCAGTGCCACAGCTTTCATAGGAAATCACACAATACTGTACTGCTGAATGCATGTTCGTGGGGGAGGACCCAGGATCCACTGGAGGGACTTTGACTCTCAGCTGGCCTTGGGCCCCCCCGGATGAGCTGGAGGAGGTGTGTGTGCTCTGCTTAGACTGTTGCCCCCGCGATCTGGCAACGGATGAAGTGGAAGAAAATGGATGGATGGATAAATAGGGTAAAGCAGAGAAAAATAAAAGCACCAGAAAAGGGAATGGAGGTGAAAAGGTCTTGCCTCATTATTCCTGGACGGCACACTTGACATGGAATCACTACTTAATCCGCAGAAAATCCAACCGTCGCCAAGAGCAGCCTGGTTAGAGCACTGGCAGCTACGTCCCACATGCGCACCATCACATTTCTCATAATGATTCATTGATCTGAGCCCCACAGTCCCTGCCTTCTCAGTCCAAGCTAATGGTACATCATCAGTGTCACACTCTCCCAGTGCGAGCCAAGGTCATACAGTAGTGACCATTATCCCAGACCACAAGCACCACACATGCACCAAACCCACCAATCAAGTCAGAAAGCCAAAACCTCTGACTGTGATTGGATGCATTTAGCAAAGTTATTACAAACATGTTTAAAATCTTTCTGAAACAAGGTTTCTATCATTTTTACATAAAAAACGTAGTTAGGATGACATTTAGAAGCGATACAAAAGTATACAGTTATTTTATAAATTGCAGTTAAGGCAATAATATATCAAGTTTTGACTATCATTATTCCAGTTTTTTTTTTTTTTTTTATCCAATTTCTGGTAGTAAAATGATTACAAAATCTCATAGAACTTCATGTGAAAAATCTTTGGGACAACATTTTAGAATTTTGTGACTTGATAACAACATTTGCTTTATGCTGGGGGACTAGTCTCTGATTCCAACGCTGGTGGTGTTGAAGATAAAACAAGACTTAAATAATTAAGCAATGCATCGCGTGGCCTCAGTCCTCATTCTACAGCCTGAGTCCTGGATCTATGCCCCGTCCGTCCATGGGAGCGGATCCCTCCCTCAATGTGGGCCTCCAAGAGGTTTCTGATTTTTTCCCACTGGATTTTCAGAATTTTTCCTCTGAGGGTCTGAGGACAGTGGTGATGATGCAGGACACTCAACATTCTATAACAGGGGTCGGCAACCCGCCGCTCCGGAGCCGCATGCGGCTCTTGAGTGCTCCTGGAGTGGCTCCTGGAGCCTTTTCAAAAATGTCTGAAAATGGAGTGTGAGGGCTATATTTTATTTCTAGTTTGACTGTGGTTTCTGTAGAAGGAAAAACAATCTTTACGTTTTTAAATGCTGTAAAAATATGTATAAGTAATATCTAATTTCAACATTTCTGTCAACGTAGTGAGTCATATCCTATGACGCGCGGTCACGCGGCCCCGCCCCATGCGGCCGCTGCTGTAAACAAACCGGCGTGTGTGCATCATAGACTGTAAGTGCACATGGATCCCAAAGCTAAAACGAGAAAGAGTCGATAACAAGACTGGACTAAGAATGAGAATGAACATTTTCTTTCAGTCAATGAGGAAGGACTGCTTCATGTTTGTAATGAAAAGTTTTGTTGCAACACGAGGAACGATGATGCGCAAAACACCGTACACGGTGATTACGTGAAGGATTCATTCATCAAAAATTCAGAGCACCTATTTTCAGACTTCAAAACCTTCTCAAAGACGGTGAAAGAAAAGGCCATTAAGGATTTTAATTCAGCTCCAGCAAACTTCAGCCTGTGACGTGATGGATATGAGCAGACAGTGATGCAGGTATGTGACCTCTGAGCCCAAAGCAGATTGATTAACTGTATTTCTATAATTGCATGAAGGCAAAAAAAATGGAAGTTAAACTAAAGCAGAGTTGTCCCGTGTTGCGTCATTCACTACACGCGTGGTGACACGCTGCAGTGAAAATACACATTTTATAATCATGAATGATTATTATGTATTTGTAGCCTTTACTTTGTCATTTAGATATTAGGCTAATATAGCTAATACATCTTGCAGCCTGTGTTAACTTCATAAAATCCTTATACAAGGCTGTTACTTTTTTGCGGCTCCAGACAGATGTTGTTTTTAGTTTTTTTGTCAATTATGGCTCTTTGAACATTTTGGGTTCCCGACCCCTGTTCTATAACATTT